TTAGCGAACGTGAATGGGCTCGAATAGCGCAAAGAGGCCAAAAAGTTATATATAAAATAAAAAGGAGGTATATTCGCTCGTCGGGAATTGAACCCGGGCCGGCTCGGAGCCTCGGAAGACAAGGCATGAAGTGAAGGCGAGCTATCCTAACCATTGGACCACGAAGGAAAACGAATTTGGGTCTTTCCTCTTATGGAATGGTCGGGATTAGAGAAGGACAGAGACAACAAACTCGTACAATTGCAAACTAGCTTCGAACTCTCACAACATGAAGCAAAAATTCCAGTCGATGCAAGTTATATTTCATGATATACAAGTGCAGAACAATGGTACGCTTCAACATGCCCGTTGTATCCCCGCATAACCCATTAAACTTTCAACACAGTAGCCCATGCTCAGTGGGCTGGTCGAATGGCAAACCACTTGTTAAAGACCAGCTTCGGATCATACTTTTTCTTGATCTGTTGCAAACGATGATAGTTTGGTCCAAATATCTTCTTGGCATACTCGTCCGTCTCGTTCAAAGTGCAGAAAGGATCTGCGTAATTCACGTATCCGAGCGACTCCTGAGCCTCCTTCGAGGATGACCCAGAGATAACGCTCTTCAGCCTGAGAAGCTTATCCCGTGCTTCGGAAGTGAAGGATTCGTCCGTCCAAGCGAAGGCGCACAGGACGGTCATCATCTACAAGAAAAGAATAAGATGTTTGCTGAGTGTGAGGGAGATTTCATCGTCTGGAGCACCTACATACCTCATGCCTTTGTGCGAACGCAGTTTGTCCGATTGGTACCTTCGCAACCCTTTTGTACCCATAGAATTCATACATCAAGGCTGACGCTGGTGCTTTCTTGACAATCTCGCTCCAAGAGTCCCACGATTTTTGGATTTGCGGCAGGTCGAAGACGTCAATATGTGCTCCAACTACCATCTTGTTTCCGGGAATCACATTGAACGCGTTCTGAAGTACACGACTCGGTCAAGGTATCAAAACGAAGTCCCTAATGTTTTGTAACATACCGATAGGTTGCTAACTTCAATCCATGGTATTTGAGCATTCGTAACCTTAGCCGGGCCTAGCGATGGCCAGGTTTGGTGGCCGATGTCAGTAAATCTTGGACTTCACCGTCACGTTGGCAACAGCTCACCCAGCTCAAAGAATCGTTTAAAGCCAGCTTCCCCGTCCTCTTTTGTTGAATTGCTAATGCCGTTTATTGTGACGTATGGCTAGCTCGGTCTGAAGGTCAGCAGTTTGAGCACATAGATTGAGGGGAAAAGGTCTCGCTCACATTGCCGTCTGGATCCAGTGTGAATACGCACAGGATTGCTTCATGGTCCTTTTGTACTTTACGCCATGCGTTGATCGCTTCGACCACGTGGGGTAGCTGAGCAGGAAGGTAAACGTAGCCTGGCAAGGTGGTCAGATATTTAAACGAAAATGCTCGAATCGGCTGGCGGACTAATTGCGTAGGCATCAGCTCTCTGGCTATGGAGCTTCACTCCGATCTCCGCCACAACTCCAAAGTTCGAGCCACCTGATGTAACTTGCTTCAGTGACGACAATTTCCCCACAAGTAAACCCCGACGACTTACCTCCGCGCAGAGCCCAGAAGAGATCCGGGTGCTCGGAATCGCTCGCCTTCACAATCTCACCCGAAGCTAGAACGACTGTGGCCGAGACCAGGTTGTCGAGCGCCATGCCGTGTGCACCTGTTGAGTAGCCGAGTCCACCACCAAGAGTGTAGCCCCCAATGCCTACTTGACTACACTGTAAGATGGACCCGCCTCTTAGTGAGATGCCATCTACCTGGAGATTCGGAGACTTGAACTCACGAGCCCAACGACCGCCGCCAGGCCTAGGGCATCCGACGAATTGAGCGGCGTCAATAAGAATGTGGATATACATATCGCGCGGGGTAATAAACGAACGCACCATACTTCATGGTTTCTACTTCGATATCGTGGACCCTAGCTCCCCCTTGTATGTATCCGATCTTGTTCGCCTCATCGACCCGAACCCGGGTCATGTTTCGCATATCGATCAATAAGCCGTCCGTGGCAGATGCTGTACTAGTGTTATGTCCACCGCCGCGAATAGCAAT